AACCAAGAAACGAACATAACCTCAAAATTTAAGTAAGTTTTATACTTGCATACCTTTAAGAAACTAAGCATTAAAGAGGAAAATAATGGAGATTAGCACGCATGTAATTATATATAATAATTCAAAAGCAAAATTCAATTAAGTTTATGATTCAATAATTTTTTAATACTTGCCACTCCTTGTTGCTCGTTAATTTTTTTTTAATTAAAAATGCAATTTTAATATTATGTGATTGTTGTGATTTCACATGTAAATATTCTCCGCGGGTTTTCTCGCAAAATATTTGATAGATTGAGCTAAAATTTTGTAGAGAACTCAAAAATACTATATGGAATCGCTGTTATGTGCCAGAGTATTAATATTTTATCAAAACATTTATTTCTAAAAAAAATTGCGTATTTGAGAAAAATCCACTCTCTAAATTTGAATTAGCGACTATTCGCTTATTCCTAGCTGCATAGTTTGGGCTGATTAAAATAGCTACTATTTGCTAGCAATCAACGACTATTCGCTAGTAATAAGCGAATTTTAAATGAGTGATTATTTACTTATTCCCACACGGAAAAACTTTGTGCAAGAATCATTCCTAAATTTGTTCAGGAACTGAGGATATGAGAATAATTTAAGAAATCTTATTTATATTTTCTTTGAAAAATTCTAAGCAGTATTTCTATAAGAATTGTAGAGAAATTCAAGACAACTTCCTAAACTCACTACAGAAAGTCTTCAACTTGTTTTAGAATAAATTTTTACGTTTGCGAGAAAAAAAATTTACTCTGGGAGGACTCGATCCCACGTCCTCGAGAGTCCAAAAACTCCACTTTACATCACTCAGCTACCTTAGCAGCTTATGGTATTATGCATTGGAAACATATTTGACGCAACCAATCCCTGCCTAGTGCTTGGTTACTGTACTGTGTCTTCTTAAACAGTTCAAGAAACTTTCAACACCCAGTGACTGAGATATTCCGATCGCGGCATTAACAAGAAGTCTTCCAATGTCATAATAAAAATACAAGTATTTTCTTCAATGATTTTTGTATTTTTCTCTAAATTTTGCAGAATTTTTCTCATATCCTCAGTTCCTGAACAAATTTAGGAATGATTCTTGAACAAAGTTTTTCCGTGTGCGCTAGGAATAAGCGAATAGTCACTAATTCAAAGCGAATAGTCGCTAATTCAGATTTAAAGAGCAATATAGTATGGCAACACGATTTTAATTCGTTCCACGAATAAGCAATTTTTTAAATCATCAGATACTTTAAATTTTTCTTATTTTCCACGAGCAGTAGTAAAAGTGAATTAAACTTAGACAAGAATAATGTTAATTTATTGTGAACTTAAATATCATCGCATTATTATTAAAAAAAAAAAAACCATTAACGTCAGAGAAAACACATCAAAGTTTTATGAATTTAATTATCACTGTATAGGAGATTAATATTAATTAAAACTTCAAGTTATAATAATTTTACAAAGATTATTTAACAAGAATAGTTTTAAAAAATGCACCTCTATTATAATATAATATAACAGAAAAAGACCAGACAGACTTTTTTTTCTTAGCTAACTGACATAATTTTCACCTATAATATATACTGCATATATCTATAATAGTTTAATATTTTCATACATGATGAGAGTTGAAGAAAAATTATCTAGATATAATAATGTTCAATTAATTAAGTAATATATGTTAAATTAAATGTGAAAAATCAGAGAATATTTTTATTTCGTTAAAAATTTCTATATATATATAAAGCAAACAGAAGAAGCTCATTGGATTCAGATTAATCTCTGTTGAAAGTTTTCGTCGGTAAGTCGCAGCAAGTCGTCAGTTTGTCGAGTCAAAAGTTCGAGGTGAAGTGTTTTCTGTTAGACAGTGTATAACAGATTGAAGGTCTTACAAATCGGGTGGTAATGCGTCTTTGAGAGTCTCTTCACTATGAAAATAAGGCTAACTTGAAAACTTCTACATATATATATATATATATCGAAGTGTAGTATATATATACATATATATCTATATAGATGGTTGCGTTATCTCGTCCTCACGAGACTTTTGTACTTTTTTCATTTTCTTCAACTTTCATCCTGTCTTTTCTTGTTTAAAAACTTCCCAGTTACACGATACAGGTCATAGCTGATTGCTGATCAAAGCGAACCTTCTTTTATAGTCTATATATATTTTTCTTTTTTTTTTCTCACAAGTTCTTTGTTCGCACACTGCTTAACATTTCTTAAATTACTATTCGAATTCATCTGCCAAGATAATAATATACTTTCAAGAAAAAAAATGTATAAATTATCTACTTTTTTTAAAAAAGTAATCAAAATTTGTATTAGCAGGATTATACTAATTATTCATAAACTTTAAGTCTAGCCTATGTCCTAACCTCTATATGAGAAAACGTTTTTTTTTTTAATTCAACCATATTATATTTAATTTAAGACTTGTATACCTTTGCTATAGGTATACAAATATAAAATATTCAGTGGAACATCCGAATTGTGACAATTTGCGGGGAATGATAGTTTTTTTTGATACAGGGTGGGGAACTAGAATAGAGAAAAAGTTGATTTTTTTAAGTTGGCAAGCATAAAAATTGACTCACACTGTTCGTAAATACAACTATTTTAAAAAATACTTGGATTCGCTTGGAATTTGTCAAACGGGGGTTTACGGGGTCGCGGATTACGGATATGATGTCAGATTTTTAAAATTCAAAATGGCGGCCAACTTTTTTAAAAATCGATGTTGTCAATATCGCTATATCGTCATAAAGTACAGGGTTCAAGCTTTAATTTGACTCCTATGACAAGTCTCTAGCACGTCGGGTTTACCCGGTAGAAATTTTCAAAAACTGACAAAGACGTGATTTTTGAGACTTTTACCCCTACTTTTCTCAAAATCCTGATATGATGGGAGATTTTCGTTGCCTGATTCGAATTCAGCGCACCAAAAACTACGGTAAATGACTTCCCGATCTTTGACAATGGAATTTTTTTTTCCATGCTTGTGAAATCGGTTACTTGACTATTATCAATTAATAAATATTTACTTTTACCAAATAATTTTTATTTCAATTAAATTAATAAATTATATTTAAAATAATTTCTATATTTAAATCAAATACTATTTAATTGACTCAATAATTATTTAATTCAAATAAATATTTATACTAATACACAAGTAATCGATTATTTGAATCAAATGTTTCTTTTTTTGCAGTGCAAAATTGTATTAACTGTTTTCCTATTAAAAATAGAATTTCTCCTCTACTGAAATTTTTCTAATCTGATTTGTTTTGTTGAAGGGATTTTGCCAGAACCTTGATTTCAGGAACTCTGTACTGTCTCGTATTCATTACTTTTATTTTTCTCACGTATAGGGAAAAGTCCCTCTGTTTCTCAACGGATCGAGGAAGAAATATATATATATATATATATGTATAGAGAATCGAAAATGGCTTGTGGACAAAGGAGACGATCGAGAAAGGAATTTCGAAAGGTAAAACTGCCCTCGTTTGCGAAGGAAGGACTGAGCAGTAATGTCCCGTTCGGACAGAAATGAAATTCGGGTGATTTAACCGCTCGAATCTCGAGTTCACGTACAATCGAAAGAACGGACGACAGTAAATCCTACCTATAAAATGGGACTTTTTCTTTCACTACTCTATAGTGCAAGCGACGCGACATTGGCTTGCTTTTCGCTCGTGACTCTTGTTGATTTCTCGGAAATCGACATCTTCTCAAATGCTTGGAGCTTTTCATCAACTGGTTTCAATATAGCCAGTTTGCAGCGTTGAATCTTTCTTGATTTACTTTTTCTCTCTCTCTCTCTCTTTTTTTTTCTTCTTCTACAAAGAGGTAAAACCACTAAGCGCATCCACCAGTTTAGAGACTTGTTTGCGTCAATTATTGAATGACATTGTTCGCAAGCTTTTATTCTTTGTATTTTTCTAATTAAAAAAAAAAAATTTACTTTTTTCATTTCTATATGTGTTTTTCAATTCTTTGCCGTTATTTCTCTATAAAAGTTCTTTATATATATACATATATAGCTATTAAATCGCTACTGCGATTTAAAATGTGATCAATATTCTACTACTTAACTCGGATGGACCAATTAAAGAGTTTTGCCTACTTTCAATTTAAATGACAGAGATAGGAATAATTGATTTTTTTTTCTTTTTCTCATTTGTCCAGCACAATTTTAAGCTCGTTTTTACTCAGATGTGTTTAAATGTTTTATTTTTATCCTCAAGCTGGTGCCTTTGTTTCTGCGTGTAAATCTACTTTTTCAATCTTTCAACACTTATTTTTTTTATTTAAACTATTCGATTTTAGTTATTTAGAAAATTTATTTTCATGAATTTTGTCAATATTTATTTTAAAAATTGTAAAAAAAAAATAAAGCATTGGTTCTGTATTCCCTACTCTCTAAATTTGAATCAGTGAATTTCACTGCTAACCAGTTATAAGTATACCAAACCAGTGAAATTTTACTGATTTAGTATACTTATAACTGGTTAGCAGTGAAATTCACTGATTCAAATTTAGAAAGTACACGCAAGGTGAATTTTGATCGTGGCGTCTTTATTAATTAATTAAAATATTTTTTTTGTAACATGTTAAATTTTTAACCGGTCGGTAATATAGAAATCTATAAAAAAAATTCATTTCCAAATTTGACAAAAATAAGTGTGGCATCGTGATTAAACCTAAAGTAATCGCTCTCTTAATTTGAATCAGTGAAATTTCACTGGTGAAATAGCTAGAAGTCGGTTACTGAACCATTTAGTGAAATTTTCACTGGAAATCAGTGATATATGACTGATTTAACACAAAAATCTTTAAAATATGACTCAGTTTTCAAGTTCTGCCCGTCGATATGAACGACAATTTTTCTGACTGACTCCCAAGTAAAACGTTGTCACGTCAAAAAATGCAACTACATTTTTTGTAATAAAATTTTTCCAATAAATTAAAATATTTACCTCAATAAAGAATTTTCAGCTTCAAGGAGATTCTTTTAAACTAAATAGCCCTCGGAGATCCCTACTTTCAAGTTAAATTTCCATTCAGAAAATGTAAAAAATAACCGTAAAAATAGACCGAGTTCTAAAAAGTCTGTGTGAATTCTGTGTCCTTCAAGATACCCTTTTTTACTTTTGCCCTTATCTTTGAAGTACGTGACACCACGCAACCCATCGAAGATAGAATCTGCAAAAAGAAAAATTAGAATACTGTCAGCGCTGTACTAACATGTAGTTAAATTTTTAACCGATCGGTAATATAGAAAGCTATAAAAAATTTCATTTACAAATTTGACAAAAAATAAGTGTGGCATCGAGACTAAACCTAAAGTAATCGAATAACACAAAAATCACGAAGCTGAAGTACGCAACGTTTATGATAAACGATTTTAAAAGAAATAATTTTTTACAATGAAAAATTCTATAATTTTTTGCCTAAAAAATATTTTATTTGAAGGGTAGAATGACAAAAGGGGTCAAGCGCCAATTCACTGTTTTTACAGGAAGTAAAAAAAACATTTTTAAAAATTTTGCAGGTTATTTAAAAAAAAACTGAGAAAACCGTTTCGATATATTAGTATGTTTTAATAAATAAACAACAATTTGTTGAAATAAACCTACATATTAACGATAAAATTAAAAAAAACTGTGGTTCCTTGAGGTTATATCAACTGCGCACATTTTCTTTAAACATTAATTATAAAAAAAATCTACAGTTTAAAGAAAAACTGGAAATTTAGTTTCTTTCTATGGAATCGACGAAAAGAATAGAAAAAAAAATTCCTTTAAAAAATTGTTTGTTTTCAAGAAAATTAAGAATTAATTGCTTGCTTTGGAATTGAGCAATACTTTCATCTTTAAATTCAATTGTTCACTTAGTATAACCATAAAAATATTTAAAAATTAATAACAAAATGATTTTAAAATTGTTTAAAATTGAAAATACATTATTATTATTATTAATTTTATTAATTAAAATATTATTAAAATAAAATTAAAATAAAATATTAAAATAAAACCTAAAAAAATAATATTTTTTTTTATTTTGATAATATTATTGACTCACCACTTTCTTTTGTTTTTCAATCAGGTTGCAATAAAGTAAATTTGAGGCTATTTTATTAATTTAATTTTTATTAAAAACTGATTTAAATACGCAATAAAAAAGGAAATCCTTCTACTGAAATGTGTAAATGAATTTTCTTGATTTTTTTATGCAAAAATCTCATTTTCGATAAATTGGCGCTTGACCCCTTTTGTCATTCTACCCTTCATTTGTTGATTAATGAAAACTACAAGAAATATTTTTTAGGCAAAAAATTATAGAATTTTTCATTTTAAATCAAAAATCTTGAAAATATGACTTATAGTTTTCGAGAACTCTGCGTCGATATAAATGACAATTTTTCTAACTGACTCTCTAGAACAGGAAGCGAGAAGTAAGACGTTGTCACGTCAAAAATTAATCTTTATAGAAAAAAAAATTTAGTTACTCGATTTTCTTTTAAATCTGGCTATACAATTTCTTTTCCACTGAAATTTTGATACTAAAAAAAATTGTTTGCAATATTATTTTCCTGGAGTAATTTTTAATTATTGATTTTTTTAAATATTCAGGATTTTTAAAAATTTCCTCAATTATATTATATTAAAATTATGAAACGGAAGATAAAAAATTCAACTTGATATATGAAATTTTAATTTCTTTTTTTTTTTTATTGATTTTCAGTCATTATTCTAACATTTTCATTCGAATTTTAAAATCTGGTTCTTCTTCTTTATTTTTAATTAAATTTTATTCTGAATGGCAAATTTATGTCAGAGAAATATGAAATTTATTTTTGAATGAGGAAATGATAAATTGGTAACGACCGCAAAAAAAGAAGAATAATGAAAAATGTGCCACATTTTTTTGAAAATTTTTCATTTTTCGAAAAAAAAAACTCTATTAGAATCAATTTCAATTACGTTCGCTATATTTTTCCTGTAATTTACTTGTGAAAAGGCACCACTAATATATCTAATTTTAGCTTATTCAGTAGAAACAGGAAATTTTTTTCCAACAATTTTTCGTTTTTAAAGAAAATTAATAAAATCACTACAAATCAAGTTTACTGTATTTTATTTTTTTTAATTTGCCCTTGAAAATACGCCAATATAATAAACTTCTAATTTTTAGGTTAAAAAATTGTCAAAAATTAAAAGTTTAAAAATTTTTTAGAAAATTTTACGTTCTTTAAAAAAATACTCAATTAAAATAAATTTTAATCTGGTTTTCTATATTTTTCATATAATTTACACACACACACAAATTCATAAATGTACCTTTCAGTTTTTTTTAATTCAGAATATTTTTTAATAAAGATTAATAAAAATGACTTTCCAGATTAACTAAATTTTGAAATATCGAAATAAAGAAATGAATAATAATTACATAAATATGAATAACTCAATTTATTAATTGAAATATTAAAATAAATACACAGAAAATTAAAAGGCATTAAAATAAGCTGCAACGCTTATTATTTTAATCCAATTTTGCTTATTTTAATCCATTTTGGTATTAAAATAAGCAAAATTGGATTAAAATAATAACCCAGATAACAAAATGCCTGCATAATAGCAGGCCGTGTGCCGGACCTCAGTCCGATTGATCGGACCAACGTGCCGGCACATAAGCAGCGCAATGTGCGCGCCATTGCTGGCGATATCGCCCGCCCGCGGTCCGATCCATTAAAGTACAGAAAATGTTTTTTACTAAAATAAAAATTGAAACTGCGTCTATGTAGATACGTTTAATGATTATTTAAACAATTTCAGTAAAAAAATTACACGTGCTGATTAACATTTTGAAAATGTGCTCTGGTAACTTTTTTTATCAGATAATCAACCATCTCATTGATTAAATAGCTAAAAAAATAGTGTTCAAAAATATTTCATTAGTAAAAAATGAGCTGTTTTCGGAATTTAATCACGGAAATGCATATATTTAATTCAGTATGATTATTTACAATACTTATCTTAAAGTTAAATTATCTCACGCACGCAAGGGGAATCGAAACCGCGACCTAACGCAAACTAAACCTAATGCCTAACCAACTGATCTATCAACGCACTTGCTTTTATTTACAAGAATTCTGTCCTAAAAATGAACTATAAAATACTTTTATTTAAAATTATTGTTTTTCAAAATTTCATTTATTCAAATATTCTTCTTAGAATTAATTATTTTTATTATAAATAGATCAAACATTTTGAATATTATTATATAGATTGTAATAATTTTCAAGATATTCTATGATTATTTTTTGTGTTATTAAGAATATTCGTATAATCGCATGATTGTTAAATGCAATATATATTATATTCATTAAAATAATAAATTTTTCACTAATGATTAATTATATTTACGAATTCATCAAACTTAAGTAGCAAACAAGTTACAAAAGAAATTCTAAAATTATTCTTGTAAATTATATCGATGGCCCCTAAATGAAAACACGTTTTTCGCGAGTGCTCTCGCGAATAACGTGTTTTCATTTAGGAGCCATCGATATAAATTCTCAATGTAACATCAATAATTAAATCTATCTTTATTTTATTAATTCATTAATTTATTTCTTTGTTAAAGTAAGACAAAATAAATATTTCGAAGTCAAACTTATTAGCTTTATTAAAAGTTTTCATAGTTTTTTTAAAATTTATTCCATCCGATTTTCAATTTATTATTCAATTAATTCAATTCGTTTCATGAATTTTTATTTGTTTAATATTTAGTACAATTTTTAAAAAACTTTTCAGTTAATCGTTTAATTTTTTTAAGGATTTTCTTTTTTTCCCACACATCACATTATATTTCATAAACATTTCATGAATATTTCATTGAAAGATTTGAAATATTTCAATGCAAGGTTCATGAAATGTTGATGAAAACAGGAAAATGTCCGCCTATAAGAAATATTGCCGTGAAATTTTGCTGAAATATTACACATTAAGACTCCTGCAATATTACAAATCGTTATTTTCTAACATGTTCAACACCTTAGGATCCTTAGCATCATTTAAATTGGAATTTTTCTATAATATTTTAATGAAATATTTCAGCAAAATTACACGGCAATATTACTTATAGGCGGACATTTCCCTAATTTCAGCAATATTTCAAGGACTTTACATTGGAATATTTCAAAATTTCAATGAAATATTTCAGAAATATTTAGAAAATATCATGTGCTGTGTGTGTTTATACGTTATTTTCTCATTTTGTTGTTAAGTTCCTTTATAATTTTTTATCATTCTTTGCTCATTTAATAAATTTTATAGTTTTTCATAATTTTTTCATTTCTTAGAAATGTTGTCCCTTCTCTAAACTGAATAACTTTTTCCTTATATTATTCTTTTTTAATAGATTCTAGTCAGTTTTTTTTTGCATTTTTTCCTGTATTTTTACAAATTTTAAGCTTTTTTCGTTCTTTAAAGCTTTGTTCTTACATTTTTTAAACTCCTTCATTTTATGAATAATCTCCTTAACTTTCTTATATTTTAAGAATTTTCTTTTCTTACCATTTCTATATAGTGTGTTTTACAAAACTTAAGTTATTAGGATTTTTATACTTATTAAACTGCTTAATTTATTAAAAATTTGTTGGCTTATATTTTTCTCATCTTTTTGATAATTTACTTTACTTTTTAAATTTTTATTCATGATTTTTTAGATATTTTAAAAAGTATTCTACATTTTTAAAAATTTGTGAATTATTTTTTAATAAATCTTGTTTATTTTCTCTTATCCCTAGATTAATTCTTTTATTTATATTTTTATATATTTTGAACCATAAAAAAAATTATTGCAAACTTGTTTTGCTTATCACTACAAGAAATAAAATATCAATAAAAATTAATTTATTTATAAATTATTTAATTTTATTAGTGAAAGTAATACTTTTTTTATTTATAATGAAGATTCAAAAACAGAAATTTAAACAAGCCTATTGGCAGATATATCCTGGACAAAAGATCCGGATAATATGTCAGGAACATTGCGAGCACGATGCTGGCACAGTCGGTCTTGTCATAAAGTAGGTGGCACAAAAGGTGCGTTACAGCAGGAACACGGTCCGCCGATCGTTGTGCCTGTAACGTGCCAGACACGTTTGTTATCTGGGAAGCGTTGCAGCTTA